CGCCGGTACTGGATGTCAAAATCATAACCCAAAAGTATCAAAGCCCATCGCTGGAGACGGTTTGCAGAATGAGCTGGTACACCAGATTTCGAACCGAAAATTGTGAGAAGAGGCTTGTGATCCGTGAGAAGAGTAAATCTTCGACCATACAAGAATTTATGGAAACGGTGTACTGCAAACACAAGTGCAAGAGCCTCTTTCTCTATTTGACTGTATTTTCTTTCCGCTGCGGTTAATGTGCGAGATGCATGCATAATTGCTTTCTCTGCTGCGTCGGGGAACTGATGAGAAATGACAGCACCGAGTCCAAAAGCTGAAGCGTCTGCAGCGACAATGATAGGCATGGACGGATCGTAGTGTGTCAGTAATAGTTCAGAGCTTATAACAGCTTTCAGCTTGCAAAATGCAGCTTCAAATTCTTTTGTCCAGTTCCAGTAAGTGTTCTTATTCAGAAGATGATTTAGCGGTCCGCGTATGTTATGCATCGACGGAACAAAAGCTGAGTAGTAGCTAATTAATCCCAAGAATGATTGTAGCTCAGAGATATTAGTGGGAGTTGGCATCAATTTTATAGCTCGGATGTTTTCAGGATCTGGTCTGCGACCTGCAACATCAAAGATGAGTCCCAAGTATTTAACTGAATTCAAGAAAAACTGGCATTTTTCTCGGCGTAATCTGAATCCGTTATCACTGACGTGTTGTAGCACAGCTGTTGTGCGTTCTCGAAGCTGTTCTAACGATGTGGCAACAATTAAGATATCATCGAGATAAGTTGCAACCCCCGGGATACCCGATAGAATGGTATCCATTAGTTGCTGAAAAATAGATGGAGCTGTTTTAACACCAAATGGTAGGCGATTGTACTGAAACAAGCCACAATGAGTATTTATGGTAAGTAACTCTCTCGAATCTTCAGCCACTTCTACTTGTAGATAGGCATCAGCGAGATCCAGCTTTGCAAAGTACTTCCCACCATTTAACATCGTGAACAAATCTGCAGGGACTGGCCGTGAGTGATGATGCTGTTCGAGAGCTGCGTTAAGACCTGTGGAAAAATCTGCGCATATTCGGATTGTGCCATTAGCCTTCTTAATAACCACAATGGATGCTGCCCAGGCAGAATAAGAAACAGGTGTAATAACTCACTGTAGTTGAAGGCGGCTAAGTTCTTCGTCAACTTTCGATAATGTTGCGTACGGCAATGGTCTTTTCGGACGGAAAACAGGTTTAACTCCAGGTTTCAACCGAAGTCTTGCTTTTATAGCAGTGCACTGACCCAAGACAGGCTGAAAAATCGTCGAAAACTCCGTCATTAGTTCTTTTGAATATGTTTCAGGTTCATGGGGTTGTTTCACCATATGGCATACGGTGCTCAACGGAACGTCAGCCAAATGTAGCCGGTCAAACCAGTCTAACCCAAGTAGATTAAGATCAGCTGGTGTGATGTAACATACTCCGATAAATGTCGAATCGTGAAAAGACACTTTACAATCTAGTTGTCCCAACAAACGTAGATAATTACCGCATGCAGTTCTAGGTTTCTGTTTTGTCGGCATCGTGCCTGGTCTTCCCATTCTGATCCAATATTTTCGTGAGAGAATTGTTACGTCAGATGCAGTGTCTATTTGAAATCTGAACGGGTGCCCATTAATATTAAGGGTAATACATTTCCTCTCACTTGGGGTTGAGTTCTGACAGCTCGCTATTAGACTCAATGAATTTGTGTTGGATCTAGGCGTAGGCTTTCTGCTACCTCTGGAGCTGCTCGGCTTCTTTTTTCGACAAAAACCATCTTTATGACCCACCGCATTACATTTCCTGCACCGATGTTGTTTATATGGACAGTGTCGAACAAAATGCCATGCACCGCAGTGCCAGCATGGGGCAGGAGGATTTTTTTTTCTGTTGACCTGAACTAGATGTCGCTAGGGCAGTTTTATGCGAGTTGGGTGGTTGTTAGACTACATGAACTTCGGTAAGATCTGAACCACCACGCTGGATCATCGTAGTGTCACGCTGCAGATTGATTAGGCGTTGATATTCGTTTGCAATATCTTTAAGTGTTAGTTTTGGGTCTTGGTCCAAACGATTTAGCAAACGTGTTCTAATGTCACTGAACTTCTGAGATTGAAGGCTGCAGATGAGAATGAGTGCTTTAAATTGGTCTTCAGTAAGCGACTTCAACCGGAAGCGTTCGCATTCTCGGTTGACGATACCTACGTATGTGAGAAAATCAGCATCTTCGTTCATAGTGAGCTTCAAACATCGGTAGCGCGCATTGAATAGTGAGGAGTTGTCTCCAAATTGTTGGCTCAGTGACTGAACAGTGTCCGAGAATGAGCGATCGCGTGGGTTTAGAGGCAAAATTAGATTGCAATACCTGTCTAGTTCACTAGGACCCAACTTTCGAAGCAGAAAGCGGACTTTCCAAGCATCATCCTGGTTAGCGAAGTCAAATTTGAATAAGTCTTCGTAACGTCGAAACCACATATCAAATGTGACATTGGATTCCGGATCGTAATGAAACTCGGAGATACTGTTAGCGATACCACCCACTGATGGTGCGGTAGTGGTAGGATTAGAACTGCTTGGTTGAGTATTAGACGTAAGCTTTGTATCTGTTAACATCTGAATAAGTTTCATCTGCTGCTCGAGTAATAATTCAAGTTTGGAAGGATACATGTTTCCGAACCACCGTCGCCAATTGTTAGGTTTTGAAAGAGAGAGAGAGATCACAGGTTCACGTAGTTTGCGAACGAGAACGAGATTCAGTGACCAACGACCAGTAAGCTATCTATTGAGGCGTCCCAGCCCGCTATCTGGAGAGAGAAGACCAAGCTTGGAATGAAAAATATATTCTGCAACCACCAGAAATGAGTCATCCAACCAAAACAATTTAAAACATATATATACAAATATATATAATCGATATTGTCATTTAAATTTTTTTAAACATTCGTCAATAAGTTCATCAATTGATTGCTATTCAAATATTTAAACATTTAATCGATAAGTTAATCGATAAAATTATAATGTGAGTTTTTGGGGAATTTATCGTCCCCAACAAATAAGACCTGGAAAGGATTGCCCAGGACAGGGTTGGATGGAGAATGCTGGTGAGCGGCCTATGCTCCTTCACGAGGAGTAACAGGCCTAAGTAAGTAAGTAAGTAAACCATGAAGATAAATTTGCAAACTTACATTGAATTTATTGAGTTACGTTTTAACATTCTGAAGTCGTATTATTATTATTATTAAAACTTGTGGATTTTAACCACTACGTATGTGCTTGGACGGTGTACGATTTAAAAAGGAAATTGTTAAATTTCAAAGTTTATATCAAAGCTTGACCTCGGTTAGGCCAAGAACGGCTTAATAGCTGTCTGTTCTTGTATACATCTACATAGCTGTATGTATCCATGAATTTAATGGAGACAAAACTGAGGATCCTCAGGTCTCGCTGTTAGTATTTTGTCTTCATATCACTGAGTTAACATTAAATGGTTTACATTTCTGTTTTTAGGCGATCACAACATTGTGCGAAGGTTTTCCAATACCATTGATGTGTAACTGCCTCACACTCGATAAGGTTGGACTTCATCGGACAGTGCTTCTCACCAGAACTCCGAGAAGGTTTGAGTTAAATCCCTGATGAGTTTGCATATGGACAATATTGATGGGTCTCATACTAAAGTAAAACAACCTTTTTGATGATCATTTAGTTATGGTCAGTTCGTGGTGTGAACTGTGAAATTACCAATTAGCTAAGTATTTCTTTAGTTACCGATCTGACATGGGCTGAGTTCGTTTGAGAAATTATTAGCTTTAAAATATAGTTATCTAATAAGGCATGTTTTAGGGAAATTCCAAAAAACTGATTATTTCGAATCATCATAGTGTTTCTGACAAAATTATCATGTCCTCTACTCTTTCATTATTTATCTATCGATTAAAAGTTTAGGGGTTCTGAGTAAGGCAATATGGTCTAAAAAAGTCAATACATGGATCAATATTGAAAGAAAGTCTTTTAAGTTATACTTGAAATGTTCTGTAGACAAATGATAACCATATCTAAATGCCTTAATGTTCATGTACGCTTTCAAATTCTAGTATTGACAGATTGTACACCAGTAAGTACAGAAAACTTTCCATATCTTGTCTTTCAATACCTAGCCTTCATTTAGTTATTACGAACACTGAGCTGTCAAAAGATAAATTTATGTAGTCAGTATAAATAATTTGTGATAGATGAAACCTGCTTCATTGAACATCTTCTAATCATTCAAAAGAGGTTATATGGACTTCATAAATAAAGTATAGTAAAATAATTAGTTTCAAGGTTCACGAGAACTAATTAAATATGAATTCAAATCCCATAGGAAAAATCAGTCCGTTTGAGATTCTATGTAAGCATTGATGATGAGTGCCAACTAATATAAAATCTAGTTTGCGGATTTCCTCCTGATTACTTTAAACCACTTGACCGTAAATGAATATTGCATAGTTTATACATACATAACTTTATGACAAGTATTACTCATCATATTGTGTCACAAGGCAAGCACTAACTTAGATTCCTGAAGGTAAACAAAAAAGAGGAAGGCCAATGAACACACTGTGTCGAGAATCGAAAATAGACAAAAAAAGGATGAATAGCAATAGAAACAACTGGAAAGCAATGTCGAAGAGAATGCTGGTTGGTGGCCTGTACTCCTCCACAAGGGATAACAGGAGTATATAAGTAATTACTCACACATTTATCTACAAGCTTTTGTTAGGAATAAAAGTGATATTTCATTGTGACTTTTCTCAAGAATACTTGTTTTACAACTTATTGATTACTGATTACGTCATTTCATAGAGTAAAATATAAATCCCTACAGTATTTGACACATAAACTTTAAAGAACACAGTTAGTGATCTACGCCAAAGTAATTCAGAGAAGATCTAAAAACTGAAAGTATAAAATCATATGATTGGTTAAATCACAACACCGAAAGTAAAATTGTATTTTTTTTATTTATACACAAAGACATTAATAATTAAGTTACAGAGAACTTTTAAAATGTTTTGTATGTAATACAATTACTACATTGAAATAAAAGTGAGTGTAGTTCTTCAGAATATAAAGCATTACATAACTTATCTGAAGATGTGAATAATATTGGTATATAATAATTTCGTCAAAAAGGATGAATCACACAATTTCATATTGTTAGGTTTAAAAAAGGTATTTCTAACAAACGGGGAATCGACGATGTGATTCAATATCGGCAGGCAAATTTGTATACTAAGTAATAATAATATATATGTATTCCATCAGTCATGATCAACTTACAGGTAAGGAGTAAATGTATATTGGTTTAAGTCGTCGAATAACATTAACACGACATAATGAGTCTAACTGAATGAGGAATAGAAAAGGAATTGAGGTAATTTTAGTATTAATGATAATGAAAATGACCGAACACTGAGAATATGTTACGAGAAGATGGAATGAAAGAATATTTAATGGAAGATCAAGAGTTAATCAATCTGTATGATTGTGATCAATTCTAAGGGATATCGTACAACAACATCTTGAACTATTGGTTACAGTTATCATAGATGCTATGCCAACAAAAAAGTGTTCATCTTATAAATAATATCACTTGGAATTAAATATTCATTAGGAAATTTTCAGTAGGTATATATTACCTGAACTTGAAAATTTCACATCATTTCAAAATGATTATGAATAAAATCAAACGGAAAATTTCTAATCTACATTTAATATGAACTTTTGTCTAAATTTGATCGAATAGTTTCACAATATTTGGGCGCCGACTTAATATAAGATATTAAACGAGGATGGATATATTTGTAAAATCTTAGCGAATGAATTTGAATTAAATCCAACGTTTTGTCTAACAATCTTGTTCAACCTTTTTCAAGCATACATTTCTTTGATCACAGATCTGTTATAATCTGAGTTTGTTTGAGAAATTATTAACTTTAAAATATAATTATCTAATAAGGTATACTTTAGGGAAATTCCCCCCTCTCCAAAAAACTGAATATTTCGAATCATCATAGTGTTTCAAACAAAATTACCATGTCCTAGTGCTTTTCAAGAATATATTTCCTTGAAAAAGCTTCGACGAGATTACCAGATGAAACATTGGATTTATTTCAAATTCTTTTACTGAGATTTTACAAATACATTTTACATTTAATAATTTCTTGTAAAGTTTTACCATTACAAATAAATTAACAAAACTTCTTACTGTACTACTTACAGTTAAAGAAAAAGCAAATATAATACTCCTTTTAATTCATACATATAACATGAGCCAAATGATGATAAAACAAATACAGGATCTTCATTAATATGAATTAATATAATGAATATTATTATGTATAAAACTGTATATTAACATGTACAAATATGTGATCAATATTTATATAGTTTTATTAAAAACTAGTCAATATATTTTTGATTCTATCTTGTTTTGTATCATTTTGTTGATTGGTATTTAAAATATGATTAATCAATAATAGATGGTGTTCATTTTTATAATAATCAATTTTTTCTTCACGCCATTGATAAAGTAAATCTAATACAGGACGTGTAAATGTACAATTTACAGTAATATAAATAGCTTGTAAACTATATAATAATGTAAATACATGCCAAAGTGAAGTAGATGCTTGCATTAATGCTAAAAATGCAATAAACCATACAAGACTATGTGTAATTGTAAATTTTAATGTAATCCAAAAACGTGCACTTATATTTGTTGTTTTCCATAATGTAGTAATATTATAATGATAACTATCAGTATTTTGTTGTTGACCAACAATTAATTTAATTGTAATTAAAATACAAGAAAATTGTAATAATAATAGTATAAATAGTATTGGAAAAAATATATAGAAATGTCCATAATTTGGTGTTAAATTACATGATATAATGGCAAACTCTTCATGTTCTTCACTGATGTAATTATTAGTTTCAAATAAAAACATACTAATTATAATACACAATATAGGTAAAATTATAATCATTATATGTCCGATTACATAACATAATTTTTTAGTACTATTCATACATACATTACTAGAATTACATAAATGATAATTCCCACGATAACAATTCATATTTTCTCGTCTACTCAATAATAAATATACAATCATTAATGATGATTTTAAATTCATTATCACAGTTGTCAATATACAATAATCGGCTAAATATCCCAAAATAGTATGAATTAGATTAGTTTTACTCAATGAACATGTGATTAATGTCATTAAATATGAAGCTGAATAAAATAAACAATGCATCATTATACATAAACCATAAAGTTTTCTTATACGTTTAAAATATAATATAAATATTAAATGAATTAATGTAGAACAAAATGCTAATGAAAAACAAATTTGAGTAATTGTATGCGTTTCTGAATCAATTCGACTATCATTATTAATAGTTATAGTAGATATAGTAAATAAATCACTATGATTACAGGAATTATTCATTATATTTTCTGATATATGTATTACATTATTTGATTTACATAAACTATGATGATTTGTAGAATTTGTATATTCTGACATTTTTAAAATCAAAAATAAAAGCTAATGATTAATTGCAAAAACTTTAAAATCAAATTTATTTACTTTCTGTGTAAATTATAAATTTTTTTTACTCCCATCAATGAATAATAATAATAACAATAATAATAATAATATTCTTTTTTATTAGTCAGAAATATGTTATCGAATTGACCAATCAAAATTGTAGTTAGATTAATCAATGTACAAGTATTATCCAATCAAATTATTAACGGATGAAAAACAGTGATATTACTTTAATTTGATTGGTTAATAAATTAATTAGATGTCTGAGGTTTTTGAAAAATATAACTGATAATTTAAAAATAAGATTAAAATTTACGATAAACTACTTTGCAAATATGATGTTTGTTTGTTTGCTTATTAATTGCCTCGAAAATATTTGTTTGTTTGTTTAATATTGAATGATGAATATGAAAGTAAAGTGATAAGTCTTAAATTTGATTCATAGGATGAATTTTTATCTTGTTGGCTGGCAATCGACTTTCTCATCAACGAGTGGAATTCATTAGCTCAGCACGTGGTTAAGTCTCCATCCGTTGACTCTTTCAAAAGAAAGTTAGATCAATTAAGAGACCATGATTGTTAGAAATAACACAAGCTATCAAGCCTCTTGTACTCTCCAATTTCAAACTGAAACTGAATTTTTATCTCTGACATACATGTTCATGAACGTGATATCAACTAATAAAAGTGTAAATCACTCAGTCAATGAGCTGCAACGTAGAACCAGGCACATATAGGCATCGGTCCAAGTTGCCATACCTCATTAGCACAACAAGAAGAACACTGGATTCATAGAACTAGTTAATTCAGTGGTGGTAATATATAAAAGAAAGATTGCATAAAAGGAAATAGTACAGGAAGAAAGTATTAGTTCGTATAAAGAAAGATATGAAGTGATTATAATCTCTTAGTTTAAAGGAAGAAAGAGAGTGTACACACCGGCGCCATTGTGATCGATTCTGAGCCATGTCACCAAGAGTCTCCAACCAACGGTTACGATAGTCACTCGGACCCCAACCAAGTAGTCTGCATCTACCAACATGGCTCAGACCAGAAGTAAGTGACTTCAAGCACTGATGCTACGTTTTCGTAGGAGATCACTGCCGGAGAATTCAGTTGATGAGAGCGTTATTTCCATCAGTAGATCTATGATGACGTTAAACAAAAATGGAGAAAGTGGACAGCCTTGACGGACACCCCTTGAGGTTGCAAAAGCAGATGACAGTTCGCCATAAGATCTGACTCGACTAGTAGTGTTCGAGTAAAGAGCCTTCACAAGGTTTATGTACTTCTGAGGTACGTCTTTCAATGACAGACACTGCCATAGAACCTCTTGGTCAACAGAGTCAAATGCTGCTTTTAAGTCAAGGAAGACCACTATTGTCGGACGCCGATAAGTATGCCTGTGTTCTAGAACCTAACGAATGGTAATAAAAGTGTAAAGATGAAGTGAATGAATAATAGATAATACAGATCCACTGAATTGATTTAGGTTTATTTAAGATTATGTAAGCTTATAACTTGTTCTATAATTGCATATAATATCTCCTGATGTAAATCTAAAGCCTATTAGCTTTGAAACTTAGTCTTATTCGGTGATTAAAATTATTCCCATCAGAATGTATTAATCATGAAGCCAGTTTTTTGGAATATAGCAAACTTAATTTAGTTATTATCTAGATAGATTTATGTTTATAAATCTAATTTAGTAAAGCGGAAATCCTTATCTACACATTTAGTAAAAAGCAAATATAGCGAGTAAGTATTTTCAGTAACAGGATTTATGGATATTGTAGTAATAGTAATAATTGAATTCACAAGTCAATCCAAGCCAGACTACCATTGAAAACGTGAAAGAACTGAACCCATGACCTTCGGTTTGGCTTGCAAATGCTTAAACTCTGGATCACCGAACCTGCATCCAATGGTGTTAATGTTTAACTTCAAACAATCCACAAAGTTGTGCAACACTTCATCTATTGTCTGAGGTGGATAGCTGTCTCACACTCGACACGGATCGGACTCCACTTTTTTTCTTGTGAAAAGTAAACATTTCGAAAGACATTTCTTTAAATACGTTTGTATCATCTTTTCGGCCAGAGAAAATGAAACTGACTATATTATCACTTCTTCAAACCTTTTATTACTATAATTTTTCTTTCTCTCTTTCGTTAACTTTTCTTCACTAAGCATAATTTTAAATTGATTATTTGCAACACTTTCGATACCTTAAGATAATAACTTCTATTTTAGATTTCTCACATGCTTTCTTATTACTTTATTTATATCGTTATTATGTTAACACGTTTATTTTCTCAGGTTTTGACTTAATTCCCATACTTGTCATTGTATTCGAATGAAAAATAATATTAACGGATTATACGTCATGTCCTTAATTAAATTTTCACAACTTGTAATCCCTCATTTTATATTCTATCTACTAAGATATACGTACATGTATCTTTGTAAGAATGAAGAAGATTTTGATCATTAATATTTACAGGTGAATTTGAAATCCATTCTCTTAAACTTCACAAAATATCAGAAAGGGGATTGTAACGACCGAACCGTCAATATCCTGTTTAAACGCAGAACTAACGAGCCAAAATTTATTCGATTAGATCAGGCTACCTTCTTCTGTATAGAGTACGTAGCGTTTTTGATTTACTCGTATTAAATTATATCAAAACACAAACTCTGTGCTCGATTTAAACGGTTCTCAATTGGTACAGCCTGTACTATACAGTCAAAAATTTCTCTAACACAAATTAGCGTGCTGAGAATCAATAAAAATATCCCCAACAAGATGGGATCACATGTCTATCTTCAGGGATTCCAGAAATCCTCCCAAGCAGACAGTCAAAAGGTTAACAGTCACATACTGAATCACGCCGTGACCTTGAGCTTAGTCAAACACGACCTTACTGTCAATAGTCCGGCAACATGCAATAAAAAATTAGGTAACAAAAGACAAGTCTTTAATCGAGATCACATAATAAAAGCTCAGATGAGGAAGACTGAAGAAAAAAAGGTGTGGTTAAACAAGATCTGAATAAAGGTTAAAATACACGACAGGGAGAAGAAACAAATAAATGACGAAACCGTTCAACAAAAAAGCTGTGGAGGGATTTTAAGTGTTTTCTTTCCGTTATAGGGATTTTGTGGAGATTGTAGGGATTTAATATTTGAATTCGTGAGTCGATTAAAGCCAGACCATCATGGAAAACCTGGAAAAACTAGAGGGCCAAAACTTGTTAGTACTGGGCTCCTCAGGAATGCGCATCTGCGGTCCGGCTTGTGGGACTCGAACCCAGGATCTTCGGTCTCGTGCTCAATCACCTAACCTTTAGACCACTGAGTTGGTATTCAACGGTGTTAATGTTCAACTTCAACTAATCCACGAAATTGAGCGACACATCCACCATTGTCTTCAGTGAGTTACTATTTCACAACTGACCCAGTTGTTAAAATACTAATTCTGTAAGAAAATGTGAACACAAATAGCCGAGATAACGCAATAGAAAAATTATGATACTAGATTACGTAGTACGAATAATAACAATAGATTTAGTGAATATAATAAGATGATTAAAATGTTTTTGTTACAATTATTAAAGTTCATGGAGGTGTAATAAATTCGTTGAAAAGAGATCCCTTCGCTGAACTTCTTATTTTGAATTTTTAATGTTTAAATGGGAATTATCTGTCAATTACTACATAGATTTGATTATAATTTTACATTGTAACTGAAAATGAAATCTAAAAAAATTGGCGAATCATGCTATTTTAGATCTCATCAATTGGATGTAATTGTATCCCACTTTGTATTTGCTGCAAAATTCCATCTGATATCAATATATTATTCCACTAAACTAATGAGTTATCTCGATTATCTTGCTGTAAAATAAGTATATGTGTATCGAATTCACAGAAAAGAGAACACTTCGCTGAAGTAATCTTTCTTATTTAATGTCTTAATGGGTGTATTCCGTTTATCTTTTTTTGTATACAGATTCTTTTAAACAAACGAAGAACAACAACATTGGCAGAATAAAATGAATTCTATTTCATGATTTCTTACCTAATCCATACAATGTGAATTTACAATTAGTAGTATAATTGTTAAAAAATGTTTTAATTTACTTTCATATGTGAATTTTAAATAAATGTTCGGAACAAGTAAGAAACTAATAATAATAACAAAATTAAAGAGGGAAATAGGATACAAAGTGTATGAATAAACCTAATTAAGATTGACGTGTATTTATATTAGTATCAGAAGGGGTTTTGTGGATATAATAGTAATTTTCATAGTTGAGATCTTGAGTCAATCGAAGCTAGACCACAATGGAAAGCCTGGAAGCACTGGACGGCCGTTTTGTCCTATTGTGGCACTTCGCAACAGTGGGCATCCACGATCCCACCTCGCGAGATTCGAACCCAAGGGTTCTAGTGAGAAGCAGTAACCAGTGTAGTTAGGTCGAGTTTGTTGTGAGATAGTAACTCACTGAAAACAATGGTGGATGTGTCGCTCAATTTCGTGGATTAGTTGGAGGTAGGCATTACCACCGTTGGATGCCGTTTAGCTCAATCGTCTAGAAGTTAAGCGTCTGCGCGCAAGATCGATAAGTCCTTGGTTTAAATCTCACTGGGCGACATTGTTGATGAGCACTATTTAGGAGCCCGCAATAGGAAGAGCTGGCCGTCCTGTGCTTCAATGTTTTCCATGGTGTATTTATGTGTTAGAATGTAGTAATGAACAGTAGAACCGATGTTATCGGTACCATAGTGATAATGAAGATAAAGAAAGTTATGTCAGGGTGATAACATTTTTAAATAATTGGGTAATCCCTCAAAACGATAAAACAAATCAACATATGAATATCAATAATCACAAAAAACTCGTTCTTGAAATGTAATAAAACCAACCGCATAGAACTTTGCTTATAAACGATTTCGTAATCTACTGAGCTTGTAATAAGATCTAAAGTCAGTGTTAATGAAATACCCAAGAAATATAGATAAATAGTCGTCACAGTCAAAATATCTAAATATAACTAACCATCAGTGAC